AAAATAAATAATTTCCCATCATAATTAGTATAATATAAGCAATCAAATTATTTTGTATTATTTTCGATCTATCTTATAAAGACAATTAATTTTAGAAATATAAAAGATTAGACATCATTTTAGGATCCACTGGAAATTTTCTTTGTCTATTAAGAAATATGAATAAATTGGATAGATTTTTTTAACATAACTATTTACAAGAATAATATTTTAGTCTATTATAAATCTCCCTTATTATTTTTTTTTATATTCTCTAAACAATTAATAGGAAGATGAGTAATCTTGAGTTTAAATTTAGTAAGAAGACAAGTGAGAAGCAATTTAAATGCCAAAAACTCAACCGATACATAGTAGGAAAATTCGTCAAAGATTCTTGAACATGTCCTAGACAATAAAAAAATACTCTTTTTATAAATCTTGTAATTTATTAAATTTTGGCATTAATTATAATAAAGAATAAATAAATAGATATGAAAAACATAATTCACATTATTTTGAAATTTTAATTATATATCATTTCGAAATTTACAATTATTTCATTTGGTAAATAATTTAAAAAATGTCGAATAGTGGAATATATAGCCTTATCTAGGATTTTGTGAAGTGGTGAAAGTGCTATTAGATTAACATAAGCATAGCCAGAATTTTGATGTGGGGAGGATGGGAGGGGGAAGAACAATTAGCTGGCATTTTTCCGCGTAAATTTTATAATCAGACTTTTAGGTCTGGGAAGAGTAAATGATTTTTAGGGGGCATAGGAGTGGCCATATGTTAATGTATTATCAATCAATGAAATTTAGATATATTGCTTGATTTTGTTTGTCTTTATCATTATGATCTAATTAAATTTAAATGAGAATTAAAAAGTGTTAAGGACTTATTAACGCTTTTTTACATTTATTTTTATGATATTGATTCAAAAATAGACGGAAAAAAAATCAATACAAAAAGCGGAATTGGATCGTTTTTTAGTAATATCGGATCTGTAAAAAGATTAGATCGGCACAGCCCTAATTATATTAATCAACAACTTATTTAAAATATTTTTACATATGTGTTTGATAAATAATTAAATATATATATTAACAAACATCATATTAATTAAAAGATGATCAAAATCTCCCATAGGCTACCTTACATGAATGAATATCACAATCATTTCATTGTCCATATTCAGGAAAATTCATCTCCATACAATAGGATTAAAATAGATTTAATAAACTACAAATAGTTATCTCATCACTTTAAAAGTCTCAGAATACCTATGCAGGGCATGAATTATTTATGGTATTACAGGTTTAACATAACAAAACATTATGATGTCTATCAACAATCAATGAAATAAAATAAGTAAAGTTATCAAGAATGCTATAATATAAATGCACCTTCTTCATATCCTAACGAAACTAATAATCTTCACTCAATATATTTCTTCTTTCTACCTTTGCTATCAGACTACATAAAGATACCGTCCTCTATAATAAAACGGGATATGATGTATGCTTACTGAATGTTTAGCGTAGACTAATAAGCCTTTTAGCTGTTACATCCTTTAAGACTGCTATCGCTGCACCTTTTTAAAAAGAAGACTTAATAACCATCTATTAGTCCACATTTTTTTCTAATGTGTCCTAATATTTGTTTTAAATCTAAATAAAGGAAAAATTTGTCAAATAGCATAATTTTGAGTATCAAATGTTAAATTTAGAAATAAATATATTATATAATAATATAATTTTCTAATAATGTCAATTGCTATGCTCCATTATTCATAATTTTCATTTTTTCAAAAACACCTTTTTAAAATTGAGGAGTGGGAGCGGGAGCTAGCTCCTTTTAGGGCTAGAGTGGAGGAGCGCCGCTCCACCTCTCCTTTAAATTTTATGAAAAAATTAAATTATTTTATAAATATTAATAATATTTGTTAATTAAAATTCAATAAAAATGAAATTTTATTTTATTTAAATTTATTCAGTTAAATGTTTAGCAGAGTTTTATTTTGGGTTTTCACCTAATCATTTTAAATATTAAACATCAAGTTTTATATTTAAAATTTTTTGGAAACTCTTGTAAGTCATATTAATATTCATTTTATAGGTATATAACAAAAAATAATTTTAGATATTTTGGATTTAGAGATCATAGATGAAGAAATCTAATTTCCATTTCCATCATACAAAAAATATTTTAAACTTCTAAAAGATGTTGGTCCAAATGATCAAACAAATTTAAGGGCAAAATGCCTTTTGTGTTTAAATAAAACTATTTAATTTTCAAAAGTGAGCAGCTTCAATCTAAAAAAGCATCTAAAAGTAAATAATATTTCTTTTAAATACAAAATGATTTGGAAGATTTTTTTGGATTCCATGAAATTGATCATCAGGAAGATAATATATTTGACATACATTTTTTAAATAATGATACCAAAATTACTATTTTTGATAAATTCCCTGAATTAAAAAATATTTTTAAAATACAATACCCCCTCTCTAGTGCTCCTGTAGAGCGCCTATTTAGTATTGCAAAATAGGTCTTAGGGGAGAGGCGTGAATGTTTGTTAAATTATAATTTAGAAAATTTATTACTTTTAAAAGCTAATAAAAGGTTATAAATATTTTGATAGATCATTTAATATAAATACAACTTTTTGATAAAAAAATATGATTTTGTTTCGTATACCTTCAAAAAAAAGAAAACCAAAGGAGCATTTATGGAATGCCACTCCATTACTTGGAGCGGGAGCTAGCTCCTTTTGAGAAGGTAGGAGTGGGAGCGGGAGCTAGTTACTTTTAAAAATGAGCTTTAACAACTCTGAATTATTATGTTTTTATAATATAAAAGTGTATTTTTCACTCGTATTGATGATAGAACAAATTTTATTATTCAGTTATAAAACAGTTTTTTAAAATATATCTAGCTCAGTTGTCAAGGTGGAAGATCTATAGTTTAAATTTGGATCTGTAAAAAAAAATTTTTTTTTAATTAATTTGATGGAAAATAAATAATACAGAAACTATAAAAAAATATATTTGTATTATTAAAAATAGAATATTTTTACCCTTTTTGCATATTAAAAAAACTTTCGTTTGTATGCTATATGCAATTTCTAATATTTCCACATTTTAAAGTAATAGGTTTATTAATAATTTTAATTTTTTTTATAATAATTACCTAGCTCAATTTTTTAACCTTAACCTTCCAGATAAATAAATTATATTTATATAGTATATACTTTATTTACTATTGATATGTAAAGTCTTTTATAGAAAATTAAATGAGTGCTATTCTTATAATCGAAATTGAGTTTTCTTAGGCTGTTTAAGGCCATTTCCAAACACAACGTTTTAATGCATACAATTTTGTTAGTGTTTGGATTTTTTTCTAAAATGAGAGAGGACCGATGGACTGTTAAGTAAAGTGAGACCAGATCGTAGAACCGTAGATCCAGTCCCATCTAAAAAATGTTTTTTTAATTAAGGGATGAAAGTTTTATTCAACATTAAATTTATTAAAAATGAAAAGTGTTTAATTACCTTAATAATATCATCAAATCATTTTTATTGTATTATACAATACAAATGCCTAATATTTCAAAAGAATATTAAACCAATACAAATATATTGAATATAATTTAAATCAATTTGATTTGCATATTTTATTTTTTTGTTTTGAATAAAACTGATTTATATATAAATATTCTAATTATCTCCTAAAAAACAAAAACTATTCCATTTTTTATCCATGAATCAAGAGTCATTAGAGATTGAACCATCTTTGGATTCATTCTATTTCCCTTTTTTGTTTTTTTATCACTATTTTTGAAAAGATCGTTTCACATGCTACTGATGTAGCCTGCTGTGGGAGATAATCTATTGCTATTTTGGCTAGAATTGGAAATCGATATTGATTCCCTTCCCACCATTCTAGTATGTTGGAATTAAATGGATTTAAATATCAGATAAATCGCTTTGGATTTTATTTATATCATCTTTCTCTGATGTCCCAATTCCAATGAGCCCTGGCTATTCTCTCCCTCTTTGAGATCTCATTTTGATATATATGCATAATATACTTGTGCTTGAAGAATTGAGAATATCTGTAGGCATATTTTACATGTTTTCCCGGCATTATCCTTTTTAAATAACTTATAAAATTCTTTAACATCTTTCAAATTTGAATTTGATCGATTTTTTCATTTACATCAATAGTAATTCTCTCACCGCCTGAAGAGGGTGGTAGTTCAATAGTATTATCAACTTCTATTATTTTAATTTCTAAAAATAAAAATATAATACTACCTACCCTACTAAATTAAATTACTTGACGAATGAATTGAATGAAATGGAAGAATATAAAAAGTAAACGATGAATGAGATATTATAAAGTGTTAGGCATTAAATAAATATGCAATTACGGGGTTTCGGATATTGAAAAAGCTGAGATAATTATATTTTACTGTATTTATGGCTAATCGTTGGCGTAGGTAGAATCCCTCGTTGGGATCCTCGGTCCTAGCAGAGATCCATTTTCCCAGCTCTTTAAAGAAGTCTAGGGCATGAGAGCCGAACTACGTTAGAGTAGTGGCGATTAATGGTAGGAATGTATAATTGGCGGGAAGAGATGGCGAATATTTAGTTAGTTTATTCGTCTCGGCATCTAGTATGGCATCTCTATTTATATTGGAAGGGGCAAGAGGATCGTGCATGAGAAATCCTAAGTTAGGAATTTCCCCCTCTTCCAAGGGATCATAGTCAAACCATCGGGCCCGGAATTGTAAAGACCAGTAGGTTCGAGGGTTGATGGGATGCCGGCGGATTTTAAGGCCCTGGCAATGGTATCATTGCATTTTGAATGCTTAATGAATCTGCCTCTACAGCGCTTGCAGTGTAGAGAGTGACGGCCTTTGGAGTTGACCGACGTTTGACAGAGGATACAGTGATAAGGTATTACCATATCGCAATTCAGTCTAAGACCGATGGCGTAACGTAGCTCATCATTGCTTAGGAGCTGGTCAAGGTTTCGGATGGGAAAGCCTCAAAAAATTCGTATCCACTACCTTCGGAAATGGAGAAGAGTAGAGAATGGTTCTCTGGTTGGCTCCTCGATTTAAGGAATGCAACGGAGTTAGGAACTAGAGGTTTATCCCAATCCTTTTGTAATGCCGATGATGAAGGATCGACTAATGAGAGGGACTTCCATAGATCAATTGCCTGTAGGAGTAAGGGGTCAGGATGTTTTGTTAGTGTTTGAATGATGGGTTCGCAGGACAGGCGAGAGGATATGAACGCAATAATAGAAAGTAGGGTAGGTGACCTTATACCAATGCCGCCGGATTTGGTTGGTAAGGTAGCCTGTAACCATGATAATTCCCCAAATTTAAGATTGAGTATATCTTCTGTTATATCTACAAATAAAAGTCTTTGCAAATTATACAGTTATGTGGAATGCCATTTAATGTAATTTTAATTCTATATAAGTTATAGCAACGTTAATAGATTTCCTATCTTATTTTTACTTAAATGCATCTTTTAATTTAATATCATAGAACATGTATATTATATATTTAAGATATTCATTGCCTACATTTTATTAATGCAAATTTTATAATAAAAATATATAAACTAATCTAGTGAATAATATTTTAATATAAGTTATCTATTTAAGAATTAAGTCCTATCTTTTCCTTCCTTATATTCAGTTTGCTTTTTCTGTTTGTATGGGCTATTTGAAAATAATTAGGGATTGTAAGTACTTTATATGCTTTTTATATTTTAATAAGTAAATAATATTAGCTTTGGAGTAACCTTTGTCACTTTCTGGGGATATATTAGTTTTTTGCACTTATTTTATATTTTAATATAAAAATTCACTGAATAATAAAAATCGTTTGTTGTCTGTAAGTAAAAATTTTTGTAAATAACGTGTAAAATGCTTTGAAAAACGTTTTGTTTAAAATAGGTCTAAGAAAATTAAATACCCTGCTAAACAAACGGGTGCTTGGAATAATTCGAGTGTTGACACGGTATGAGAAGAAGAGAAGAATGGGGCGGGGGGCGGGACAGGCAACGTTGGCATCCCCTTCCTTTAGGAATCTATTGTGGCAGATTTTATGCTCAAAAGTTAAGATTTTGATAGGCCTATTTCGGTCTTTAGATTTGGTTTTTTTCGAATTTGTGCTGACCCAAGGATTTTTATTCATAGGAATGTCCTTTTATGCATTATTAGAGCGAAAGATCCTTTTGTCAGCACAAATTCGAAAAAACCAAATAAAGTCCTAGTGTTAGGACTGGTGCAGCCATTCATAGATGCCATCAAGTTGTTTTCTAAGGGCATATTCGTATATACTTATACTTGATGGCATCTATGAATGGCTACACCAGTCCTATCAATAGGATTTTATTTGGTCCTTTTCGAATTTGTGCTGACCCAAGGATCTTTCGCTCTAATAAATGATTACCCTCTACTGGTCTATATTATGTTATTGGGGGTAAGCGTATACTTTTTTATTACAGGGGTTTAACTAAGAAATTTAAAGTTTTCTATGCTGGGGGGTATACGAGCGGTAAGACAGGCTGTCTCTTATGAGTTAATTATAAGATATATTTTTTTACTAATAGGGTTAGTGGTAATAAGTTATGAATTTGAGGAATTTATGACTCCTATAAATATATATGGGTATATATTTATATATTTGTTAGTGTCTTTTTTGATTTGTTCATTGGCTGAGATAAATCGTATTCCCTTTGATCTGATGGAAGGTGAGTCTGAGTTGGTATCAGGTTTTAATGTTGAGTTTTACTCAGGGTTTTTTGCTTTAATTTTTATAGCTGAATATATTTCGATCATGTTATTTTCACTACTTGTGAACAGCTGTAATAAGATTTATGGTGATTATTGGTTTTTCTAGATTATTTTCACTTATATTTTTGTTTATTCGGGCTTCATATCCTCGAGTTCGATATGATATAATAAAGTTTTCGTGGGGGGAGTTATTGCCTTATATCATAATTATAAGATTATGAATCTTAATGGTTTGATAAATTTAAGGTACTATAGTAGGTTTTTTGGTAGAAAACTTTAGTTGCTAAGTACCAGTTCTGCTATAATTTGGAAGGGAATTATGCCAGGCTCTAAAGGAAGGGGATGCCAGAAAAATAATTTAATGATACATCCCCTTTTAAAAAGTTTAACTATTTAAAAATTAGATTGCAAATCTTATATTGTTGAGAATTTCAGCAGATTGAATAATCTTTAATTCCCTTCCAAAAATTAAAAATACGTATTTTTAATTTTTGGAAGGGAATTATGCCAGGCTCTAAAGGAAGAGGATGCCAGAAAAATAATTTAATGATATACCCCCTTTTAAAAAGTTTATTGAAAACATTTGATAAGATGGAAAAATATTTTGTATTTTGAATTTGATTGCACTGTTATTTTATATTTCCATTATATTACATAATTCTAAATTTCACGTAATTTAATGCATACCATAGTATAATTAATTATGAATAATATTAGAGGGTTATTGGAGGAATAGAAAATATTTAATTTTTTAAGGAAACTTAATAAATAACTATATATCTGTAAAAAATATTGAGCGGAACCTTATATAAATTCATTTAAAAAAATGTTAACAAATGAAAAATGTGTATTATATGCATATTTATATTAGAATTACAAAATATTTTCTAAGAATTGCCGAGAAAGAGATACAAGTACATATAAATTGATTTAAAATAGAAACATTCAAATATAAAGGCAGTGCTATAACATGAGAGGAATCAATACACTAATTAGTAATAAGTAACTACTGATAAAATAGCAGTCCATGGAAGTTCCAGATGACAAATCTATATCAAGTCTTTCAGCTAATTCTCTAGCTGTTAATAAACAACCGAATTCATTGTAAAAACTGACGTCCTTAACTAATTTCCCTTTTAAGTGCAACGGGGTAAAACATTTGAGTTGAGATATATGATGGGGGTTAAACTTGATAGTATTAGTAAAATTACTTAGGTCTATAATTTTTTTGTCACTGATTAAATTTTGATCTGATCCACCTTTAGGTGTTGTTCGAGAAGAATCGTAAGAACCTAATGAAGGTTGATTATGACCGTAAAAATAACTCGCCAACCCTACCCAGGACATGTTACAATCACCACAGGATATGGGATTATCACTTAAATCCACAACTTTTGTGTTTTTTTCCAAATCTACGAATATGAGCGGGTCTACATATTTAAGATTGTTTCTGGATAAATCCACCTTTTCCATCATAAATTTTTTGTCCAAACCATCCTTCGCATCTTTCACGGTAGTCAGTATCATGCCCCTGAAAGCTCTTTTATCTAAATATTCTAATTCTATATCGCTAAGAATCAATCTGTTTATATCTTCTGACCCTCGAAACGCGTATTCTTTAATTTTTCCTACTTTGGCATGTTTAAGCTCCAAAGTTCCTACTTTTCTCAAGCCTCTGAATGTGTTTGGTTCTATATTGCTCAAGGGAACCCTTGTCATAGTCAAATGACTAACGTTATGCAATCCGTCGAAACAACCAGGTTCCAAATATTTCAAGCCGGAAGAGGAAAGAATCAAGTAACCAACGTTTCTAAGTCCCCTAAAAGCCTTTGTCTTTACGTATGTTAATGGGTTTCCAGATAGATTTATCGATTCTATGTTTTCGGTATCTTGATAATTGTGTTTTTTATTTTAAAGGTAAATATTTTAATTTTAAAAAATGTAATTATTCACCAAGTTACTCTATCTAACCTTGGAAATTATTTCTTTAAAACGTTATTCTTATAATTTGAAAGGACTCCTGCCTATTTTCATATTAATCATTTTATTACTCTTTAGATCTGGTCGTTTCATTTAATATTTAGAATAAAATTTAAATTTGTGATAGAAATCATATTGGATAAAATTTAAAATAGAGATGCTTGAAAATTATTTAATTTTAAATATGGGATAGGCATTGGCCTAAAAATTGTTTTTTGCAGACATGGCCAGGCCTGATAAAAAACCAAGGCTCATGCAACTTTCATATTCTGATTATATTTTTAAATGAATTATGAATTTACATATTTTATCTTAGTTCTCAACTACCAAATTTATTATAGTCTTTGGCGGGCTTGTGAATATTTTCCCAACATGATTATGTGCATGAACCTGATAGGAATTTTTTGATATTAGAGATTAGGCATAATATTTATATGATTCTCAGGTAAAAGTTAATTTAAATATATTTTTACTCAACAAATAGTATTCACTCTTGTTCCTAATGGGTTGGCCTTGGTCTGAAGTAGGATCGAGCGGGATCAAAAAGAATAAAAAATTTATATGGTTTTTAGAGATTAACTTATCTCCAGGCTTGGGAAAAAAATTTCAAAATTATTACAAGTTGACCAGGTTTAAGAAAAATTTTTTAAAATTATTATGGGTGGGGCTGGGCTTGGAAAATATTTTTATGAATTATATTGGACTGGGTAGGGAAAATTTTTTCAAAATTATTATCAGCTTGGACGCTTGGGAATTTTATTATCAACTATGGATCAGACATTGACCTAAAACAAATTTTTTTTGCAGGCCTGGGGACCTGGCCTGAAGAGGGGAGGGGGTTATAAAGAATAAAAAAATATTATTTTTAAATAACAGGTAACAACTATCATAAAAGTAAAAAGAAAAACTAACTAATTACTCCTCAACCCCGTCATTCTTGACGGGTTAGCTAGTACTTTTATAATAATCCCTCTCTTTTTTTTCTTTATTATCTTTTCAAAGGCTATTTCTCCTCTAGCAAAAAAAAATAAAATTTTACCCTTTATTTATTTAGAAAATGTTTTGGAAAAAAAATTTTCAAAAAAAGTTAGCTACTTACTACAGCCATAACACAGAAATGCACCATATTTTAAATTTTAAACGATACCAATGACGAGACTCAAAAATGATAAATTAAGTTTAATAAATTACAGAAAAAAATCTGAGATCTAGTATTGTTAAACGTCGATTTTAAGAGGCCTGATTAAGATTTTAGCCCAAATAATATTAAGTACTGGAAATTTTGCTCAGGTGGCAGAAAGGTTTGGACCTCTATTTACTAGATATCGAGGCTTACATAATATTATTTTGGCTAAAATCTTAATCGGGTCGTTTAACAACTCTACCGAGACCTGACTAAACTCTCTCAAACAGAAAATTTTTTCAGGCTGGATATTCTTTTATTTAAAATAATTTTATAAATATTTTTTGAGTAAAAATAACAAAAAAAATTTGTTACTCTCTAGTCGTTTATAATTTTTAAAATTTCCTAAAAATGTTGGTTACTTTTTCTTCTATAAAATATAATTTTTTAAATTTTTTATATAGGATCGGATTGGGTATTTCTAATATAAGAGTTGGATAGGAATCGATATACAAAAAGCTAACGGAATTAGATCACTAGAACAATAAAAATTTTAAATTATTCATCTGGAATTAAGCAGGACCTGAAAAAATAAAGGGGTTACTAGTTACGTTTAAAAAAAAGACCTTTATTCGTTACATTGTAAAAATAGGAACGCGTTACTGGCTGTACAAAAAAGTAGCGCTTAACTCATTACTTAAAAAATACTAAATATTATATATAAATTTTCTTTTTATTTATTGTTTTCCCCATAGATAATAAAAAGAAAATTTGTTTTTGTAATAATTTTTATTTATATTTAACTTGATTTTTAAAATTTTAATCAGAAAAAGAGGGCTCACAACCCAGCTTTAGTTGTGCTAAACACATGTTCAACTGACGCAGAGGATGAGAGGGTTGCATTAATTTGATAAATAAAAATTTTAATATTTATAAAAAATATTTAAAGAATGATCTTTATTTTAAAAAAAACTTAATAGATCATTTTCACAAGAATCTTCATACAGATTTTCATCAATTTTTTCCCTATCTTTAACAGAATTTAAACTAAATTCATATTTTTACCTTCATATGCTTCTTTTAGATTGAATTAAGGCACAATCTACACTTAAAGTCTATACATAGTATAAAAAATATGCTAGGAGAGAGGCAGAACTGAAAAAAATAAATACAATTGACATACATTTCTTTATAAATGAAATGAAATATAATATAAATTAACAAAACTTGTTGATTTTAATTATATTGACTGTATAATCTTATCCCTTTTACCACCTCATCGGGGTCTTTTCCTATCGCAAATGTCTTTATATTACAAAATTTTTATACATATTCCGTTCTTAATCTTTAACCAGGGGCGTAAGTAAGAATTCGCTGTGGGGAGGGGGGGGGAATACTTAATGATTTTTATAAGGAGTTATTTAAGAATATCTTAAGTTTCATAAATTTATTTAAGACAAGTGACTAAAAAATATTTTAAATTTCTGATACACAAATTTGGGACCTCGGAAAATCACTAATATGGGACTACACATGCGTCTCTTCATTCCCATATAACATCAATAGCAATCCACTAACACAAGTAGAAACGAAAAAGATCAGCGAATACAAAAAATTTAACAAATTCCTATTTACTCCAATAATGACTTCCACAAAAGGCCATTTTAAAATCTTAGCACAAAAATCCTGCTTTTTACAAACAAAGCGTTTTTAGATTGCTATGTCTTTGATTTTCATTTGTTTTTTTCAGGCATTGATAACATTTAAGTGAATATGTCCATTTATTACAATATTTGTGTATATTCATTATGGTCTTTGAATTCTCGACGAATATTGGGAGTTTTCATTTTCATTTAAATTGGAAAAATTAATATTACTATTGGATATTTTAAACAAACAAATAAAAGCTAGAAATTTCGAATCTTTTTTTTTGAAAACAAAATGGTATAAATTTATTTTTATTATTGTATAAAAAGATATTTTTATTTTATATTAAAAGGCCTTTTTTTTAATAAATGAAATATTAACTTAAAATACAGTTATTAAGAAACCTCTGCATAGTGATCACTCAAGAGCAGGAATGCTTTGATCATATAGATTAGGTGGTCAATATACAGAACATTACATATTTTTAATAGGATTTTAGGATAGAGGAATTTACAACATAATTTCTTTTTATTATTTAAACATGATGTTTAACCTTTATTAATTGCTTGTACATTATTTAATTTCAATATGTATTAAATTAAAATAAAACCTTGCTTTGCTTTGTTTACCTCTTTTATTGTATATTTAATAATATCACTTGTTTCACAGTAAAAGCCGTTAAATTTTAAATTATGGGGTTTTTTTTAACCAAAAAAAAAATTATTTATAAGTAAAAATGTTTAATGGAGAAAAAATAAAAATATTCATTTAAAAAATAGCAGATGTTAAAAGATACTTTTTAAATGGATCTAGATACATATACATTGTCTAAAAATTTATCTAGATACAGCTTCTAAAAAGTTATCTAGATACAGGTACAATTTAAAATGTATCTAGATACAGATACAATTTAAGATGTATCTAGTTACAGATACATTTTTTATTATACTCTTATATAAGGTTTGAATAAACCTAAATTAGGATTCTATTGTGAAAATTTATGAAATGATCTAAAAAATTTATTGACTCGATATCACATTTATCAAAATATAACTAAAATAATGATTTTTAGATATTAATATAATATATGATTAATATAAATAATTATTATATATCATTAATAAAATAATATAATAGATGATTAAATGATTATAATATAAATAATTATTAGATTTCAGTAATAAAATATTTTCAAAATTTTGGTCATTAAGACATCCTCGTTTATCTGTAAAGACATTTTTAGCTATACTAAAGTCTTTCAACAGGGGCGCTGGAAGGGATTGTGGTGTTATATTTAATGAATAACATTTTTATATCAGGATATTGTTTAAAAATACTAAAATCTATCTCGGAATTCATTTTTGAAAAAATATTTAAAATTTGTTGATTATCAGAATTTAAATCATTAACAATCATATCTCCTGCTGTGGGATACTGAAAAAAATCGGATATTAAATTATTGGTTTTTTTACACAGGTTCATGATTCTGATATTCCAAAATCCTGAGCAGTAGTATAAAGATCTGATATTGATAATGGTGCAACTGTTTCTTCATCTTCCAGATCATCTATGGATTCACTAATATTTTCAATTGGCTTGAAAACTCTATCATAAATAAGTAACATTATGTTTATATTTATAATAAAATAAACCTAAAAGACTTAATAAAGTTTTTGGCATTATTAGTAATGCTCTTTGAGATTTTATTTTGTATGCAATAATCCTTTGCTATATCTTGTAAATTTTTTGCTATTTTATCATATGTATGACTACCAGTCATTCTTTTACAAGCCAACGCTACATTTTTTCTTTCCAAACTTGTTGGATCTATATAGTGTGCAGTGACTCCTATGTATGAACTAAAAATTAACATTTCTTAAAACTGCTCAAATAATTTGTTTGTAATTAAATTATTATACAAATTTAAATGTTAGCTATACCGGCGATAGGCACTCCAACAATCTGCTGTTGTACATATTAACAATGGTTCTATTAGACTTTTAATGATTTCTTTTTTTTCATTCTCCCATCTTTGGGAGATTCTAGCAACCACTGTCTGTCGGCAAATTATATTTTTTTGTAGAGCTAATGTTTTGATCATTTTTATAAATGAAGGATTTTCAACAATTGAAAATGGCTGAATGCTATCTATAATAAAATCAGTTATTATATCATCTAAAGTGGTTTGGGTTAAAGTCTGAGGTCTCTTGGAAAAAAATCAATGGACTGAGCCTAGTCCAATATTTTCTTTAATAGGTTTTTTCTCCTTCCCCTTTTTTATTTGGATTAAGAGTGTTTGATGTTTTCTCTTAAAATTTAAAATTGTAAACATTTATTTAGTATATATACACTTAAATGTTTTACAATATTGCAAGTTGAGGTAATGCTAACTGAAATTTGCATATTTTTTGGTAGACATGGCAAACATTTTACTAACAGAGATTTGTTTTCTTTATATTGAGATATTATTTTAAAATATGGATTGGCTATGGAAGAATGTCGTCATTTTTGTCATCAATATTAATCTTAAAAATTAATATAATAGAATAGAATAAAATACCAATTCCATTGCAATTTAAAATGGCAAATTCCTTGAGATGGATTGTAATATCAGAATTTGCTTGTTATTGATAACTCGGACATAATATTTAATTAATATTTACATATTTTTTTTATATATAAGTTTTAATATTTTACATATATATATAGTTTTTAAATATATATATTAATATTAAGTTATATGCTCATATGAAATAAAATAAATTTATTCAAGTATTTTTATTTATAATATAAAAAAGCGTTAAATAGAAGTATATCTAAATGTATCTATAAAAGTATCTAAAACAGATACAGATACCTCTAAAATAATATCTAGATACAGATACTTTAATCAAAAATCTATCTAGATACAGATACCACATTTTTATATCTAGATACTCTTGTATCTAGATACTTTAACAACTCTGAAAAATAGTATTGATATAAATCTATATTAATGAGGGTAAACCTATTTTATTTTCACGAAAAAATAATAAAGAGCAGCGAAAAAAAGGCAAATCTTGGTAAATCACAGCAATTTAATATAAATATGCATAATTTAAGACACCAAGATATAATTATGAATCAAAAAATAATAATACATGAAATATATCTTCTATCTTGTATATTTTCCTTATAAAAAATATATAATGTCGCAATATTTTAGTCCAAATTATATTTTTACAATTTAACCAAATTTTAAAACACAAAAAGTATTAAAGTATTTTTTTAAAACTTTTTCTTTGCCATCAAATTATGTATTGATTATTTTTTTCTTTACTAAAGGGGTGGTGATAATATTTTGAAGTTTTTTCTCCCATAAATTTTATTAGGGTGATCTTAGGATTTATTTCTGACTTTAGCCAAATATTTTCAAAAATTATTATGGTTTTTAATTTTATTTTTATTATAGTCTTTTTTTCTTTAACTTAGATTTATTTTATTTATTATTGATTTTTTTAAAGTATCATTTTGTATAAATTAATGAGTGTAGGCAAGGGATAAATTTTTTTTAGCAAAATAATGAATCACTGTCAGAAATATCCTAAACAAAGTGACCTTCACCAAAATACCTACTGACAAAAAAGTCAGGACAAAAATACCCCAATTTTTAAAAAAAATTTAAAGGAGCATATTTGAAATTATCCCCTTTCCAAACAAGGCTATCCAACATCTTTTTTAAAAAAATCGAAAACTTTAAAACTTTGGTAAATTTTAAAATTTTAATAAAATCGAATGTTAAATTTTCTATAATTATGTTTTGGACATGTTTCTATTTATATATTTAAAATAGCTTATTTACTTATTTTCATTATGGTATCAAAAGTTTGTGAATTTAATTGCCTGATATATTGGACACAACCAAAATAAATTTATAAAATTGGGGTATTTTTGTCCGGTGTTTTTTTCTCCATGACTTATGTCCGTGATTCTAAATGAAGATAAACAAAAACTGACAAAGGGAGGGGGCGCCTTGGATATGCTTATAATCACCATATTTGAAATATGATCATATAGGAATATTGTGTTTACTTGTATTTATTTATTTTTTCCTTTTTTTATGCTTAAAAAACCCCTATTGGCTTTAACATCATTAGAAATACGTTTTCCGTGACCTAATACACTTAGTTTCCTCTTCCCATCTTCGAAAAGTAGGCCTAGCCCGAGCTGAGCTAGGGGAAAAAATTCTCTGCATGTTCAAAATATATTTAAGAGTCGAGCCTGAAGTTGTAAAAAAAATAAAGCTTAGACTTAGGTAAATTTAGCTTTTATTTTATAAAAAAATTATAAGAGGCCAGACAATTCATACAAAATTATTATACGGGCCTGGCCGTAAACACCCTATAAAAAATCTTCACTGAGTCTGCCCTAACACCTCTACCTTTTCCCTCAATTTATTTTTTAAATTTTATAAATAAAAGATTTCATATTTTTGTAAAAACCTTCAAAAGCCTCCCTCTCTATCCGATCGATGTGATTGGAGCCCAAATTAATAGTCTTAGATCCGTTTATACCGCTCATGGAATTTTGCCCCAGCACATCTAACGGATTATTTTTCATTAGCAAATTCTTTAATTTCTTTAAACCGATAAAGGAATAAGGTTTGATCTCTCGTATCTCATTGTCGTCCAAAATCAGGTCCGTGATTGGTAAATTTTCGAAAGCCCGGCTGGGTATGAAAGATATTTCGTTTTGGCTTACATCCAGTTTCACAGTCTCTGCCGGTAAATCTCTTGGTAGGATTCTCAAATCCGTTTTAGAACATATAACCTGAGTGCCCACTGACGGCATATTATTTTGCATAATCACGAAAGATGAATTTGGAATATTTTTTGTAGGGAAACTCATGCTCGAATGTGAGGTAGGCGCATACTTGTTAAGATTTGGAGGGTTAAAATCTTTCAAAGACATGCAAAGACACATTTTAGGGCAATTGGGAGATCGAAGTAAGGACGTATTGATGCTCCTTTTGTCCAACTGTTGGTGGTTATGCTGTTGATCGGATAATAAAGAATTCGATTTTGTAAACACCAAATATTGGTAGTATAATTGTGTATATTCAAGTAAGATTAGTAGCGTAATTAATAAGGATGTTAGTTTTGAACTATGCATTTATCCGTGGAATATCAAATTTTAAATAAAAATCTTCTGAATTGTTTGAGGATTAATTGATAATTATCAAAAAAGATAAAATACTAAATAATTAATTGTTTGTTTCTAGCACATAGATATTAAATGGAATAGATCTTCTTTCTACGGTTTCTTTATATACTAATTTTAATATAGATAAAATAAATTATTTTCCCATATTAAAAAAATAAAAATAATGATAAGATAGTTATCGAAAAAAATAAAATATTATTTTTTTACTGGTTTTTTTTCTCTTCTTTAAAAAATGTCAATTTTTAAAATATGGTCAGAGTATAAATTGTTGTTTAAATTAGACAAATTAAATATTTCATAATGTGACTAGACCAGACTGTATATTTTTTGGTGTTCCATAGTTTAAATATACAGTATTGTGATGATTTTAATAATGAAGCAAGTTGACGATTAAATTAAAACCCATCCAGATAAAAATATTTTGTTAATAATTAAAATAACACATTTACTTTTAAAAATTTGAAAGAAAATTGAGAAAATTTTTAAAAACTTCTGGTAATTTAACTTATATAAAAACTTCCAATAATTTTTTTCAAAATTTATAAATTTTTTTCCCGATAAAACTATATTTCTATTTTTTTTTAAATATCAAATTTTACTATCGCTAGTATTTGAATCTATCTCCAGTTTCAGGTTTGTTAATATAATATTCAATTATTTACTAACTTTATATACATAATTTTAGATACAAACTTCATATTCTCTTCGGGGGTTATCTGGAATAACAAATAGATACCAAAGTTATTCACCTACTGAAATTACAAACCGATGTCAATATTCGACTATTCAAGAGCAACCAAATTATGATCTTATTTGTTTGAGGAAAAAGAATGGTAATTGGAGCGATCAAAAAGTGGAATTGGTTAAAATATGGCTGAGCAAACCTATTGATGATCGTCCCAATGCAAAGACAATTACCCATGATCTAAATTTATCCATGGTTCAGTTTATCGTTTCAAGCGAGAAACTTTCCCTGAATATTACGACGACTCTTTATATGATTATATAATAAAACAACGAGGTCGGAAGAAGAAAGACAACGCAGAACTTCACACGAATATAGTTGAATTTGGTAATAATAACGGCTATACCATTAAAAACATAATAATATATTTACCGCCACATCTAAGGTTGAGCGAGTGACTATATCAGATGCATCAAATCAATAAGATGGAGTCGGAAAAGGGTTAGAAAAGAACCCGATAGACGGAATTCCCCAGATGTTAACAATACTAGTAAAGAGTAAAAATGATAAGCGTGCCATTTCAAAATATATTCTATTTAGATGAAACAGGCTTCAATTCCCAGATACCTAAGGGTAAGAGGCCATCAGTCAAACTCTCTCATTCAAAATGGAAAAGCGTATAGGTTTTGTAACAATAGGAATTAATGATCTCTAAAAATACACGATTATAGACGGGATATTTACAGCAATTAAATTTAAAACTCACCTGGACGAATTATCATCCATTTTGCCTTTGAATTCACTCATAATTATGGATATTGCACCTATTCATTGTGCCCATATAATAACTCAAAATTATCAAAATATAGCATATCTTCTACCTTATTTCCCACAACTAAACCTCATTCAAAATTTTTTTAGCGTTTTGAAAAATCAATATCGATTAATATATCCCAAACCAAATAATAGAATCCATATAATCGAGGCAATTACTAGCCTTTTGCTTAATTTCATTAATTATGATTATACAGCTTTCTACTCTCATACGATTATCGAAGAGGGAATCCGATCTATTCCTTTGAACGACTAATTTAATAGATTATACTTATTTTTTCGTTATATTATGTACAATACAAATAGAAATAATATATTTTGATCTTTTATATAAATAAAATAAATATACATTAAATAAAGATTTCACAAGTCATTTTTGAAACTATAATATAAGAAAGGTATATTAATAGAAAATAAAATAAACAATGAAAAAATAAGTAAAAAAAATTATCATAATTTGACCTTAAGTTTTACCCAAAAATAAATTGTATATTTTTTAACTCATTCAAAGTCTTCCAGTCAGGCGCGTACGCAGCGGCCCCCCCTCCAAAGTCAAAAAATGCAGATGCCGGATATATTTTTCAAAAATATTATTGTTCATATTAATTTATATTTGTTAATATTTATTCCTATCTCATATTAAATAAATATTTAATTACATTTATTATCTCATTCATCAACTAAGTTATTCATCAATTAATTTCGATTTCAAGTTTTTCGGCGTAATATTATCTTATTATTTTTAAATTTTTAGTGGCGTAATATTTATCTACCATTTTCAAATTTCTAGTCAAATAATAATTATTCTGAAATTGTCCAACAGGGAGAAAGAAATTGCAACCTTGTCCAACGAGATAGTCTCCGCCATCAAGCAGTAACAGCTTTTATGGAGTTAGAAGAGCCGATTATTTGCTATTACTGAAATATCACAATGGCCTGAAAGAAATATTTCCTCAGAAGCAAGAAAATTATTGGATTCAATGCTTATTCCAAATTTTTTTCCTCATTAGAATGTATTATTTAATTATACAACTATTTTATGTATTACTTTTCAAAAACATGACAATGACTTGATTAAGAAGATGAGAATAGCGGAAAGCATTTTATTAGAATTCAAGGAAATTAGGGCTAAGTTGATGAAGAATTTCATATTTTATATGTTATTGCTAAGTCAAAATCAGAGCTATAAGTGTTTAATATTTGTCTCCCTCGACTTGCAGCAAGGAAATCTCATAGTTAAAACATATAGGATCAGTAGAAGAGTATATTTTAGATACAGATATATTTATAACCCAAATAAATGAATGGTTTTTAATTCATAATGCAGCACTTACCAATCTGCAAATATCACTCCCATAAAAGCCTTCCCAACCTTTTTCAGATAGTGATAGAAAAAAAAATATTTGTTGGATTTTTATCATGAAGATGTTAAAGTATCTTATGATGCCTTATTAACTAAATAACTATGTTTATATGATTAACTATGGTTGATATAGTCACAAAAAATGCTATGGATGCTCTGCATTATTTCAAACACATTTTAGATTATATTCACAAAGTATTAAAAGGGTTAATATATATTAGCAACTTTTCCCATTAGTAAATTAATGAGAGAACATTCTCTTTTTTAAGAAAAATAAACCTGTAAAAACGCGGCTTTTTTTAAATAAAATTTTTAGGGCCGACCTAGATTTTTTAAAAATAAATTATATTTATTTTTGATTTTTATAGCTAATAATAACGATTTCAAATATAGGCTGTTTTAAAATATACAGCTAGGCCCGGATATTTTTAAAAAAAAATATACAGCTCGGTCCGGTTTTTTTTTTAAATATTCAGGCCCAGCCCGGGTGTTTTTTTTTAAAAATTCAGACCCAGCCCGGGTGTTTTTTTTAAAAAAATTTGTGCCCGGCCCGGGTATATTTAAATAAATTAAAGTATGGTCTGGCCTGGGGATACCAAGAAGTACAACTTCTGAAAGTAGATAGAAAGGTTTGGATCTTTTGAATATTCATAGGCATTTGACGACAAGCAAGGATGAAATAATTGAAAAATTAGCTCAATCCCAACGAAGATTGGATTTTACATTGTAACAAAATACAATTATTCCTAAGAAACTTTTTGTGTATTAATTTATATTTCTAACATTTAAATTTTTTATACTTTATATATAAAAAAGGCTTAAAAAATTCAAATTTCTATTTTGGGCCATTTAAGTGATTCTTTACATATAATTTTTTTATAATTCACATTAATTTAAAATTGTGTATTAGAAATATTAGTCCCAATAAATTTATGCTTGATATTTTTAAAAAACAATAATATTTCTTAAAATATTTTATTATCCCCCCCCCCCCCAGACCAAATTCCTGCGTACGCGCCTGCTTCCAGTTTATAGATAAAAATTAATAACCTCGGTCATAAAAACAAATTTTAAAGAAAAATAAGAAGATTATTTTAAATTTTTTTATAAATTAGCAAATGTGTTATTTTAATTATTTTTTCAAATAAAATATTTTTATTTGGATGGGTTTTAATTTAATCGTCAACATGTTTCATTGAATCATCACAACACTGTAATTTATACAAAAGAAAACTCTTAAAACAATATCCTGTTTATATATAGGCCTATGTCAAATCGACAAAAATCTTAGCGTAAAATAATATTATTATCATAGGAGTTCATAATTCAAAAATTTAGCAAAATTTTTAATATAATATCCTAAACTAAGTTGAGTATAAATCTAAGCCTCTAAAATACACTTTTTATTTTTTACATGGGGATCTTTTCAATATAAGATGCATCTGAATTATTTATCGAGCCCAACCATATCAATATATTTAAAAAATTTATTACCGATCTAAAGAGAGAATCCGGTCAGAATAAATTTTAAAATCTCGGTTCGAACCGGTTGTACTACAATAGGATTTTACTTAGAATAGCTTAAAAATGGTAATTATTTTCTTTGCAAATATAAATGATTTTTATCAGGGAACTCCAGACATCGCTGATCCTCCCCCCACCCAATAATTAATATTGGCTATGCATCTTGGTTGACTAATATCCCTTGAGATTTTATTAAGGCGATATATTCATACCCGCTTTCATGTTTGATAGTAGTGTTGTTAAAACGCCGCGAGTCGCGACCCCGACCCAAAGCTCGGGTCGTTTTATTCGACTCCGACTCAATGTTTGGGTCGTTTTTTTCGACTTCGACCCAAGTCCAAACCGAAAAAACGACCTCGACCCAAAATATGGGTCGTTTTTTACGACTCCGACTCAAAATTTGGGTTGTATTTTTCGACTCAAACTTGAAATTTGGGTCGTATTTTTCGACTCAAACTTGAAGTTAGGGTCGTATTTTTCGACTCCAACTTGAAGTTTGGGTCGTATTTTTCGACTCAAACTAGAAGTTTGGGTCGTATTTTTCGA